AAGAACTTTGTAGCATTTCCACAAGAACAAAATATGTCAATATGAGAGAAAAGGATGTTTTGAACATTCACTGCAGAAGTTCAGCTGAAGTTCTACTGAGGTAGACTAAATTTCAACAAGATCAAATTGAAGTTTAACCAACAAAACAACTGAACAAGATCTCTAACTTGCGCAACTACATCAACTGACATGAAGGGTAATTATAATAAATCCCTTAAATGAATCAAAAAAGAGCAGCAAGTAACATAACAACAATAAGTGCATAAACATCAACAGTATGTATGAGCTTAGAAGGACAAACCAAAATCACCTTTAAGCAGACAGGCAAAGTAAAAACGACAAGCTTGAGATATTTACCTCCAAGAACTTTAAACATGTGCAGCAGAACAATATAACAACAACATACCCTCAGGTCAAAAAGTGTAGATATTCAAGAAAAAGATTGCAGCAAAACAAGAAACGCGCAGCAGAACTGTAATAACAGAAAAGAGATCCTCGATACAAACAGAGCTGCAAATAAAAATCCAACGGCTCTAGCAAAATCAAAGAGAAGAAAAAATCATTAACTTTTCAACCACAAGGAGCTGGTTCTGCTACCAGCTTGACTTTTAATTCATAGAGAATTGATTCAACCATCAATAGTTTGAAAAGCAACACATTTAACAACAAGCAAAACTTGCAAAAATGAGGCACCCAAAACATAGTAGGTGCAATATAAATCAAGAAGAGAACAATTGCAATTACTAGAACATGATCTCCTTCCATTAATTGTGTTACAAGGAATTACAATATCGAGACCATACAAACAGAATCAAAAAGTAACCCCAACTTAACTAAAACACCAAATCTACAACCACTAGCCAACACCCTAACCTCCAATCCGTAAAGGGTCCTTCCCTGCCTCTTAAGAGGATAGAAAATATCCATAGCCATCAGAGTCTTTCTCCTAGCATGCTCTGTGTATGTAACAGCATCACAAATCACATTTTCAAGAAAGATCTTAAGCACTCCACGAGTTTCCTCATAAATCAATCCAGAAATACGCTTCACACCACCTCTACGAGCAAGCCTACAAATACCTGGCTAGGTAATACGCTGGATGTTATCTCTTAGAACCTTCCTTTGCCTCTTGGCTCCTCCTTTGCCTAATCCCTTGCCTCCCTTACCACAGCCTGACATTTTTCAATAATTTTTAGGGTTTTGAAATTGAATTTGGAAGATTGAAAGAGAAGATATTTGTTGGATTATATATTCTACTATATTAGAAGAGTGAGTGAGGATATAGAATCAACATGATTGTTTTATGAAATTAAAACCCCAATATTGAGGGCATTTTGGACTCTCAACAACATTAGGCAAAAGATGTTCATTTACACCTCATTTGTTATCAGATCTGAATATGTATGCAAATCTGAATAATTAAGATGTTATTTGAAAATTTGAACACTGAATGATTAAGACTTTGTTTTTCAACATCTAAGTGCACATAATTTATTTATATGTACATAAAAATAAAAATACAATTCAAATAAAAATTTAATAAATATTAAAAAAAAATCATAATTTGATTTATTTTTTTTTAAAATAGTTATGCTTGCTAGTGATGGTGAAGATAGTTTTTAGTGGTGGTGGTGATGATAATAGTTATTGTTAATGGCTAGTAATGATGGTGGTGATAGTTATGACGGTAGAGGTAGTTGGTGTTGTAGTGACTGTCATAATGGTGGTAATTGGTAGTGGTGTTTGATGGTTGCAACGGTGAAGTTGGTTGATGTTAATAATTGGTGGTGTTGATGGTGGTGATTGAAGAATGTGTGGAGGTTGATAACGTGCTTGTGGTAGTTGGCGGTGGTGCTAGTTATGATGATAGAGGTTATTGACCACAATGGTGGTAGTGGCTGATGCTAGTGGTAGAGGTGGTGGTGGTGGTGGCGGCTGATACTAATGCAAATATCTCATTATGAGAGAAAAAGATGTTTGAACAATCACTGCAGAAGTTCAGCTGAAGTAAACTGAATTTCAACAAGATCAAATTGAAGTTTAACCAACAAAACAACTGAACAAGATCTCTAACTTGTGCAACTACATCAACTGACATGAAGGGTAACAACAATAAATTCCTTGAATAAATCAAAGAAGAGCAGCAAGTAACAGAACAACAAAAACATAGTGTGAATATCCCGAGCTGCAAGACTAGTGAGAGTTTAAACAATTATTTGACTACAATTATAGTTATGCATAATGCTGGGAACTAAAAAGGCCAAATCAAGACGTGCAAATTGCAATTATTTCTTCTCATATGAAATACACCAATAAATTTACTCTTATCTTAAGTTTTAACCAATAAGAAGACATGCAAGGAAAACAGAAGCTTGAGATATTTACCTTTAAGAACTCAAACATGTGCAGCAGAAGTGTACAACAACATACACTTGCCCCTACCTTCGGGGTAGAGAAACAATTTCTGATAGACCCTAAGCTCAAAAACTGAGGTTAGCTGAGCCTTTTATCGATACACTGATCAACAAGATCTCTAACTTGCACAAATACATCAACTGGCATTAAGGTTAACGAAAATAAATTCCTTGAACCCATCAAAGCAGAGCAGCAAGTTACTGAACAATAAAGACTTGTGTGAATATCCCAAGTAGCGAGACTAATGGCTGTCTAATCAATTATTTGACTGTAATTATAACTATACATAACAACACTGGGAACTAAAAAGGCTGAAACAAGAGATGCAAATTGCATTTATTTCTTCTCATACGAAATGCACCAACAAATTTAACCCTAAGTTTTAAACCAATACGTAAACAGGCAAAGAAAATAACAAGCTTGAGATATTTACCTCTCAAAAATCAGAAATGTGCAGCGAAACTATAATAACAGAAAATAGATCCCCACATATAAGAAACAGAGCTGTAGAGAAAGCCAATGGCTCTAGCGAAATCAAAGAGAATTATGTGGAAAGCCGTATTAGATGGAAGTCGTATGCACGGCTTGGGGGGAGATTTTTCATATCAGTACAAATTCTTGTCAGACTTTTGAGGGACATCGAAAACTTAGAACTACATCGATACACAGCATTTTCCTTCTTCATAACTATCTCGAGAGAAGCCATCGGCTTGGGATGATGGTGTTGGTTCTTCTCTTCTATTTCCCTCTCGGGAGCTTCCTTTCGGAGTCTACATGCTTCCTTATTCGCGAGAATTTCCTCCCTTCGGTGTTGTCTCTTCACTAAGCACTCTTCTTGTCGTTTCAACCAATTGAATTTAGATGGTTTGAAAAGAAACACATACTTATTGAGTAGAAATTCATTGTCAATAGGTTTATAAATTATAAACATCAACAGAATGCATAAGCTTTGAAGAACAAACCGAACTTACCCTAAGCAGAAGGGCAAAGAAAAACACAAGCTTGAGATATTTACATCCAAGAACTCAAACATGTGCAGCAGAACTATACAACAACAACACCAACATACCCTCAGCTCAAAAAGTGAAGTTATTCATGAAAAAATTGCAGCAAACCAAGAAACATGGAGCAGAACTGTAATAACAGAAAAGAGATTTCCACATAATACAAACAGAGCTGTAAAGATTTTCAATGGCTCTAGTAAAATCAGAGGAAAAAAAAGCATCAACTTCTCAACCTTATCCTGGTCTACCGACTGAATGTCAACTGAAACATGTTGAGCCGCAGGGTAATTTTGGAAACCAAGAGGAGCAACAGGGTAATTCGGGAAACCAGGAGGAACATCAGGGTAATTCGGGAAACCAGGAAGAGCGGCAGGGTAATTCGGGAAACCAGGAGGAACAGTAGGGTAATTTGGGAAACCAGGAGGAAAATCAGGGTAAGTTTGAAAACCAGGAGCATCATCAGGACTTACCCTGATTTTCCTCCTGGTTTCCCGAATTACCCTGCTGCTCTTCCTGGTTTCCCGAATTACCCTGATGTTCCTCCTGGTTTCCTGAATTACCCTGCTGCTCCTCCTGGTTTCCAAAATTACCCTGCTGCTCCACATGTTTCCGTTGACATTCAGTCGGTAGACCAGGAAATTCAATGGTTCTAGCAAAGTCGGGGGCTCTGTTATCAATTTAGATGTTTTTTATAACAACACATACTTTGAAACTGATTTGCAGTTGGAAAATAAGATAAGAGACATTAAAGAGTACAAAGAGATTACCTGGTCAATGCATACTTGCTAAACTGTCATTCACAAAGAATTGATTCAAATATCACTTGAATTTAGATGGTTTGAAAGGCACCACAAACTTACTGAATTGCCATTGACAGACGACAATGCCCTCAGGTGAGATGCGTTATAAGGAGATATGAGGAAGATGCCACGGAGGAGGTACAAAGCTGATATCAAAGATCCCGTCCAGAGGAGAAGTGTCTGGCTCAATACTTTTGATGCATCAGAAAAAGCTGCTAGGGCTTACGATACAGCGGCGAGGAGATATCACAGCCACAAAGCTGTAACTAAATTTCCGCAGGATAACCTCAGAGATTTTCACGAGAAGTCTAGTCGTTAGAATGCCGGTGATGATAATAATGATAATTCCAATCATATGCTCCCAATTCAGACCAATGCTTTCAAGTCATCTTTCGAACAAAGCTGCGGTGGCGCTAACAACGGTTGCAGTATTGTGCCTCTCAATCTTGAGATCACCCTTGCACTGTCAAAGAGCATGTGAAATCATCATCGATATTGAATGTACGACATTTCGTCAGTCCCTTTCCTCTTAATTTCCTTTGAAATTAAAAAAATATAAAAGGAAAAAAAACAATAAGAGAGAACCGGCTTCGTTTATTTCAAGAAATCTATGGATCAATTTTGATTCTTTCTTTTTCTCTTGATTCTTTCCGATCTTAATTCTCTTTTGATCGAGATGTATAGATCCTTGATTCTTTTCAGATCAAGATGTATAGACCCTCAATTATTTTCCGATCGAGATGTATAGATCCTTGGTTCTTTTCCGATTGAGATGTATACCTTGATAGCGATGTATAGATTCTATTCATAGATCAACACGAAAATGTGAGTTGATGTTTGGTTGCACTGAATCATCATTTTAATCCTCTGAATATCCATAAGAATGTTGGAGCTCTCTTCTTTTGTTGTTTGTTGTTTGCAAATAAGCTTCTCAAGAAATCTCTGGTGTTTTGGAGGTTATCTCGAGGAATGTGACCACGGTACCTCCTCGCCGCCAATTGTAAGCCCTAGCAACTTCTTTGGGTATATCAAAAGCTCCAAGCGTAAGCCAGGATCTCTCTTATCTCAGTTGTGTACCTCCCCCATGGGATCTTCCTCACATCCCCTAAAATGCATCTCACCTGATGGAACCATCGCCTTAATAGTTTTCCTCCTGCGTCATTTGAAAAAAATAGAAGAAATTTTTTATATGATGAGAAGAACAAGTGAGCTAAAAAAGACGAGGGAGAGCGGTTGATATAGACGTCTCTCAAGGGGATTTTCTTGATGAAACTGCCACCTGTTATTTATCCTCTGCGTTATCTGAAAAACAAAAGTAACTTTTTCTATGAAGAAAAGAATGAGTGAGCAAAAAAAGAAAAGGGAGAGTGGTTTATATAGACAGCTTTCAAGGGGGGTTTGTGAATGTTACACGATATTTGAGTTGTTTATGAAAATATCTACTAAATTATTTTAAAATTAGAAATATGACTTCTCTAAGGAAAATAAATTTCATTAATACATTCCAAATTCAATATTTATTGGATTATATATTTTGCTATATTAGAAGAGCGAGTGAGGATCTAGAATCAACATGATTGTTTATTGAAACTAAATTCAATATTGAGGAATTTTGGACTCTCAACAACATTAGGTAAAAGACATGTCATTTAGGCCTCATTTGTTTTCATTAAGATTTAATCGTCTGAATCTGAATGCACAGTAAAATGATTAAAGATAACATGACTTGAAATCACAAGGAAACAAAGAGAAATAAAGAATTTCAATACCATTATCCACCAACTAGGGACATTCATAGCCCTATCTACACGTTTGCACTCACAACAAGCAAGGACACACTTTTATCAAAAAAAAAAACAAGCAAGGACACTATAATGGAATCCTACCTGTTGTTCAAGTTGAGCAAACCTTACTATGCTAAGTGCATTGAAGTCCAAAGAAGATATCTTCTTGCAACTCTAATCCCTCTAGTCCAAGTTTCTCAAGATTTAATGAACCTCCTGTCATCCTTGCAATAACACATTGAAGTTGTACAATATTATCCCAATAAGAGGATTGTGCTATGGGAGAATGGTCAAGAGGTTGAATAATTTTAAAAGGCAAATGCAGCATCGATCCGACCCAACAATGCCTTGCGTCAGAAATAATTGTTGAGGCACATGCATCATGACTAGGTATTAGGAAAATAATCTTCCATGTTTCAGTGGGAAGGAAACCCTTGCCCATCCAAACTGAAAAATAGAAAAAGCCTTGTGCATCATTCCGACTTCTCCTCAAACACCTCTTTTTAAGATCATAGCTTATTAATCATGTATCAATGAACAAGTTATAATAATTATTAAAGCTTCTCGGCCACATAACAGGATAATTCAATAGAATCATAATGAAGCAAGCTTGGTAGGAGATAAGCAAATACCAAAGGGACAGAAATGACTCAATGTCCTATAAGTAAACATGATACAAATTGGCTACAATCATGAATTGCAAAAGACATTAGAATTTTTATGATTCTGTCAGCATATATTATTTCTACACATTAATAGAACACAAAACTCTAATCAGCTTGTGTGGTGAAATCTTTACAGATTTCTGTCCTCACTTAATCAAATTGTCTGTCATGAGACAAGTGCAAAACCATACCGAAACTAGATCAACCAGAGCCAAAGAGTAAATTAACAAGCTTGATATCCAAGTAGAAACAGAAAGTGGTGTTGAAACTACTCATAGACAATTGATCACCAAGATAGAGCTCAAATAAAACTTTAAAAGTTCCGATATTCCATGTTTACAGGGTTGAGTTTGTCAACTTACCAACAAGGAAAAGCTTTACTGTGTACATCAAGCTGCAGGATTAGAGCAACCACTAATAGTTGAGCTCCAGCTGGTGTACCAGTCATACCAGTTCAACCAGAACTCTTTAGGAGAACCACCGAGTTAAACTCAAGTCTAAAATCCTCAAAAGAGCATCCTAACAGGAAAGTTGTTCACAAGGAAAACTTGGATTAAATTTCAAAAACAACAAATCCAAGTAAAATTCCAAGGCCATATAATTTCCAATTCAAAACACAGAATAATACAGCTACAACTGTAGATAGAAGAACTTTGTAGCATTCCACGAGAAAAAAGTATGTCAATGAGAGAGAAAAAGATGTTTTGCACAATCACTCAGATGTTCAGCTAAAGTAAACTGAATTTCAACTAGATCAAATTAAAGTTTAATCAACAGAAAAACTGAACAAGAACTCTAACTTGCACAATTACATCAACTGACATTAAGGGTAACAACGATAAATTACCTCGAATAAATCAAAGGAGAGTAGCAAGTAACTGAACAAAAACATAGTGTGAATATCCCAAGCTGCAAGACTAGCGAGAGTTTAAGCAATTATTTGACTGCACTTATATTTATGCATAATGTTGGGAACAAAAAAGGACAAATCAAAAGGTGCAATTTACAATTATTTCTTTATTTCATATGAAATAAACCAATAAATCTAATCTTATAATAAGTTTTAATCAATAAGAAGACAGGCAAGGAAAAACAAAAGCTTGAGATATTTACCTTTAAGAACTCAAACATGTGCAGCAGCACTATACAACAACATACACTAGGAGGTAGAGAAACTATTTCGGATAGACCTTCGGCTCAAAAAATGAGGTTAGCTGAGCCTGTTATAGATACACTTATCAACAAGATCTCTAAGTTGCACAACTCTACATCAACTGGCATTAGGGATAACAAAAATAAATTCCTTGAATGCATCAAAGCAAACAGCAAGTAACTGAACAATAAAGACAGTGTGAATATCCGAGTTGCAAGACTAATGACAGTTTAATCAATTATCTGACCGCAATTTCATTACAAATAACAATACTGGGAACTAAAAAGACTGAAACAAGAGGTGCAAATTGCAATAATTTCTTCTCATATGAAATACACCAACAAATTAAATCTTAAGTTTCAAACCAATAAACAGACAGACAAAGAAAAAAACAAACTTGAGATATTTACCTCTCAGAAATCATAAATATATTCACCTCTCAGAAATCAGGAATGTGCAGTAAAACTAAAATTTCAGAAAAGTAAGAAACGGAGCTGTAGATAAGCTGGTTCTGTTATCAACTAAACTTGAAAGCTTTCAAGAGCAATGCATACTACCTGAAATGTTTTCAATCAAAAAGAAATGATCAAATCATCAATTGAATTTAGATGGTTTCAAAAGCAACACAATACTTATACAGTAGTCATTATAAAAATCAACGGAATGTACAAACCAAACTTACTTCTAAACAGACAGGCAATGAAAAACACAAGCTTTGAGATAATTACCTCCTAGAACTCAAATATGTGCAGCAGAACTATACCAGAACGATATACCTCTGCTCAAAAAATGAGTTATTCAGGAAAATATTGCATAGCAAAACAAGATGCAAACTGTAATCACAGAAAAGAGATTCCCAAACAACACAATCAGAGCTGAAACAAAATCAAAGAAGGAAAAAGCATAAGTTTTTAATAGCAACATATACTTTGCTGAATAGATTCAATCATCAACTAAATTGAGATTGTTTGAAAAGCAACACATATTTAAGAACAAACCAAACCTGAAAAAATGAGGGCACCCAACAATTATTGAGATAAACATAAAAGTGTAATATAAATCAAGAAGAGAACAAATGCAATTATTACTCGAAATACGATCCCCTTCCATTAATTGTTTGTGTAACAAGGAATTACAATATCGAGATCATACAAACAAACAAAAAAACGTAACCCAACTTCACTAAAAAACCAAATCTACAACCACTAACCAACACCCTAACCTCCAAATCCGTAAAGGGTCCTTCCCTGCCTCTTAAGAGCATAAACAACATCCATAGCCGTCACAGTCTTTCTCCTAGCATGCTCAGTGTATGTAACAGCATCACGAATCACATTTTCAAGAAAGATCTTCAGAACTCCACGAGTTTCCTCATAAATCAATCCAGAAATACGCTTCACACCACCTCTACGAGCAAGCCTACGAATAGCTGGCTTGGTAATACCCTGAATGTTATCTCTTAACACCTTCCTGTGCCTCTTAGCTCCTCCTTTGCCTAATCCCTTACCTCCCTTACCACGGCCCGACATTTTTCAGGGTTTTGAAATTGAATTTGGAAGATTGAAAGAGATGATATGCTGTGAATTTAAAGAAGATGATCAGTTTTCGGTATTTATAGCTGCTGATTTTGTGGATCGGCGTTTGTGTTAAATCGTGATCGTTGGTTTTGGGGGCTTTGGATTGAAGATCGACGGATATGAGTATCGGTCCGCGTGGGAGGACGATATTAAAAGTGAATCGTTGATTAGAAAGAGATCAACGGTTGAGAATGCTTTATTGTGTATTGACGCGGATTGTGCTTTTTAAGTGACTTTTAGCGGAAAATGAAAATGTGATTTGTGAAAGTTCCAAATTATTAGGCGCCTAAAAAATTGGGGATTAGTTATTACTGTACTATATAGCCAGAAAATTTGTGGATTGATTTAAAATACTTAAAATCTCTTTTAATTAATATTTTCTTAAGAGGCATGTTCTAGAGAAATACATAATTTGAGTTGGAAAGAATAATTAGTTATTAGTGCTCCATAAACGTAATTGTCATAAATATGGACTTAGCATGTTGGGTTGGCTCATCCTAACCTGTGATTTTGATACAGTTGAGCTAAGATTTTTTTAGTTCATTTAAGATTAGGGCTTTTTAGCCCCGCCCAGATAAGCTCGATTTCTTGTACAGTGTGAGCAATTTAGATTAGACCGGTTTGTGGGCCAAATAAAAAAAATTAAAAGTATAATTCTAAAAATAAGTAAATAATAAGAGAAACATAAACGCAAAGAATATATATATATATATCAAGTTAATATTTATATTTATTGATAATATTTATATTTAACTAATTGTATTGTTACTCATTAACTAATTAATTTGCTTATTAATATCTCCAGAAAAGTATTGAAAACACTTATGAACTCGGCGTATTCATCCCCAAACTATTGACAATCTTAAAACACACTCTTTTACTTTACTAATTGAACTGAAAATACACCCTCGATTTGCCACATGACATAGCAAGTCATCTCAAACTCTTATAAGATCGTGAAACTCTTAATAAAAAGTTGAGAGAAGTTTGAAACACCCCTAACATGACGAGAATTTAGAGATGTGTTTCACTCATGTGGTAAGATTAGGGGTGTATTTAAGTTCAATTAGTCAAGTAGATGATTGTTTTTAAGACTGTCAATAGTTTAGAGATGAAATTAATAATTCGCGCAAAATGTAGGGGTGTTTTTTATACTTCTCTCTAATATCTCTTTGGTTTGAGAGGTATCATGCTAAAAATTATTTTTAGTTGAGAAAAGACATAAATTACCTCCTAAACTGGTGCCGAAAAGTCAGTTAGATGCTCAAACTATTGTGACGACCTATTACACACCTAATTTTGTTCAAAGTGATATTAATACCCCCTTCCGAAGACAAACTCAATTGTGTGTAAAAAAAAGTGTTGTACACGCGTTTTCATACATAAATAATATTTATTTTAATTTTTAAAAACATTTATCTCTTGATATTTTCTTAAACTTTTGCAAAAGAACAAAGATTTGGGCATCTTCCTCCATCTCACCATACATTTCTCTTTTAAAATCTATTTCTTCTTCTTCTCCATTGTTCATAAATTGAAGGAAAAAATAAGAATTTGAAGAGAAAATAAGAGTCAATAAGTTAATTATGAAGTTAAGATATGTTGGCGGCGGTGATAGGCGATAGGCAACATCATTGTTGCTGGTGGAACAAATAAAAAATTTAGATCTGTAAAATTCTTTTAAAATGTTGATAACTAGTATGTAAATCAAGCATTTCATTAGTATTCTTTGTGTGTAATGATTAATCAAATATGCTATTGATGATTTGAGACATAAAAATGACATTGTGGTGGTTGTAGGTAGTACTCCGACGAGAATAGAGAAGACAAAGATGGAGAAATTATTTTCTTCTATGAACTTTTGATAAATTTAGTCAATATAATCATGAATTTTATGCATAAACGTTATAAGATTTTCAATAGGAGAATAGTCAAATCCAAGCTTGAACCAAATGATGACCATCTTAAAAACCGGACCCTACACTTGGGAAAAATATAGGAAAAATATGGGTTAGTACAGAAATGCACTAAGTATGATAGACATGCATAAAAACCTTGAAAATATGCCAAAAGGGACATTTTAATTGAATGCATGCAATTTACTAAGTTAAAACATCATTTTGAAGATAATGGAGAAACATAAGTCATAAGCATGTTCATTACATAGATCATCATATCATTGGAGAGACATACCATAAGTACACTCAAAGCTTACTTGTGCAATGCATGAATAAGATCTCATAATCCCACCCATGCTAAGTAAATCTTCTTGAGTAGCCATAGTTCATAATTCATATTCTTGTTCATACTATCATAGTGGGGATAAGCCTTAACCGACATAGACCATGTGAACTTAACATGGAATTCGGTGTCTACCCCACATCGAAAAGGGGTCGCCTACTTGCCTAAGGTAGAACCATATTCTTAGCTTAGGTGGATCCACTACCTAAAGACCTATGAAGGCACATAGTTTATGGGATAAGGGGATTGCTACTAGAAACCCGACCTCTACTATGGTGAGGGCTTCCATCCCAAGAGATTGCTCCTAGAAACTCGGCCTCTACTATCGTGAGGGCTTTCATCTCATAGCAATATTCACTCGGTGCTAAGCATTAATTCCCACAGAGTTCATATTAAGTCTTGACTTAAGTTCATACTCATGGAAGAATGTCTTGACACTCAAACCAACATAATTCATAAGATAGTTCCTAGATTCAATAGGTGAGAATAGCCTTTCAACCTTAGAACCATCATATTGTGAGAAAACATTTCACATCATATCATATTCATACATAGGTGTGTGAATGAGAATAACCTTTCGACAACACACAACAAGATCATAGTCATAATCACTTTACTATCAAAGTGTTCATAAAGCATATACATAAATCTCATAATCATGCATAATTCTCATACTTTGCCTTTCATGAACCATAGATCATATTTCATCAACACATCTAGAATTACTACATTAGACATGTATATAATCATAATTCAAATAGTTCAATTACTACACACATAATTCTCATATATTTTACTTGCATCAATCAATATCCACACTTTAGAATTTTTGGCGAAGAGTTGGTTTTGTTTTGGAATTTGGAAATAATAAGGAAGATGACTTAATTTAGGGGTCTAAAATACTTATATAGTTAGTCTAATTTAGAGTAAAACGACGTCACTTAGTATTAATTAAAACCGAAAAATCCCAAAGTGCCCCTAACTAATTCCCCAAAATCGTCTACCGATGGCCACCCACGACCCCTCACAGACGGACCGTGGTTGGACCCACGGTCCGTGCTGGTGAAGCATGGGTTGGGTTCTGTGGCTTGGTTTTCAGGGCCTGACCTACTACCCCTCCACCCACGAGCGTGGGTGGACCCACGGGGGGTGAGTCCCCATCGTGGGTCACTGCCCAGTCAGCCTCCTTAAGGTCCTCCTCAAGGACCCATGGTTGGTCCTTGGGGTTTGAACCTCGACATTTTAACACGAAAACATTTATTTTAAAGTGCAGTGAGGTACATTCAAGACTCTAACCCTAACGTCAAGCTCTAGTTTAGCCTACTAGTTTCTGGGGTGTTACAATTTTGTTTTGGAAATTCCGGATCACAAAAAATCCATGGACAATAATACACGAAAATTGGGAAAAACTGGGTTTACCTACTTTGGGGCTCGTTTGAACTTGAAAATGCGCTCGTTTGACCCTCGGGACGAACTGGGTCCATTGCTAAGGTCTTAATGGATGTCCATGAAAAATTTTGGCCATTTTGTTTCGGGAATTTTGGATCACAAAAAATCCATGGACTATACATAAAAATCAGCAAAATTTGGGTTTACCTGCATTGGGGCTCGTTTGAACTTGAAAATGCGCCTGTTTTCCCCTCGGGATGAACTGGTCCATTGCTAAGGTCTTAACGGACGTCCATGAAATTTTTTGGCCATTTTGTTTCGGGAATTCCAGATCACAAAAACTTCATAGACTATAGCACACGAAAATCAGCAAAATCTGGGTTTACCTACTTTGAGACTCGTTTGGACTTGAAAAAATGTGCTCGTTTGCCCCTCGGGATGAGCTAAGTCAATTGCTAAGGTCTTTACGGACATCCATGAAAAATTTCGGCCATTTTTTTTGGGAATTCCGGATCACAAAAAATCAATGGACTATAGCACATAAAAATCGGCAAAATCTGGGTTTACCTGCTTTGGGGATTGTTTGAACTTGAAAATGCGTCTGTTTGCCCCTCGGGACGAACTAGTCCATTGGTAAGGTCTTAACGGACATCCATGAAAATTTTCGGCCATTTTGTTTCGGGAATTTTGGATCACAAAAAATTCATGAACTATGCACCCAAAAATCGGCAAAATCTTGGTTTACCTACTTTGGGGCTCGCTTGAACTTGAAAATGCGTCTGTTAACCCCTTGGGAAGAACTAGGTCCATTGCTAAGGTCTTAACGGACGTCCATAAAAAATTTTGGCCATTTTGTTTCGGGAATTTCGGATCACAAAAAATCCATGGACTAGAAACATGAAAATTGGTAAAATCTGGATTTACCTAATTTGGGGATCGTTTGTGTTGACACCCAATTTTGGCTCTCCACATTTAACTATAGTAATAATTATAATAATAATAATAAAATATATATGTTATGAAATTTTTCATAGGAATACAAAAAATTTTAATTATTTATTTGACTTGATAAATTTATTTCTTAAATGTTATTTCTTATAAAAATTAAATATATTATATTACTACTTACTTTCTCATTTTTAAATAAATGTTGTTCTTCTTAAGAATTGAATCTATTTTGGTTCAAATATAATTCCTTTGTCGCAATAGATATTTTACGTACATTTATTAAAATTAGAAAGCTTAGTTAATTGATGATTTACTAATTTATGTTAATTTAATTTTAAGAGTGATTAATTTTATCAAATAAGCTAATCTTGCAAAATAATTATCACTTATGGCTATTTAATAAAGAAAGTAGTTATAATTTAAATGAATTTAATTTGAGCAAATTTGGCAACCCAAGTCTTATTAAACCGGCCAATCCGTGTATGCCACGTAGGCGAGCACATGGATTGTGCTTCTTTAGATTCGATCTCAGCCTTACAATCTAATCTAACGGCCTCAATTAATTCATCCTTTTACTATTATATATATATATAT